AATAGTCTTTATGTTAGTTTTTTCCTCAAAAGTTATGGTCAAATAGTTATTTTAGTTGAAATGTATTTATAGTGAGAATATGATGCAAAGAATAACAATCTGTTTGATTTAGGGGGTTCAGTACTATTTTAATTTAAACATTGAGTCATATTAGTTAGTTACTATTGCTCTTAAGTGCAGGAAAATCAGTTTTAACTTTTAATTACAGTTAAGGAATCTTAAAACCATTCCTAATTGTTCTTCTCATTTAGTTCACCAGTTAGTTTCCCAATTACTGTTAAGTAACATTATTGGAATGTTAAAGCAACTTTGTTCTTCTCATTTTGAAATTGAAAAAGTTTAGACAAAAACCAAGCAACTAGTTCATGCCTAAAAAAATGGAGTACACAGAAAGTATATTAGCAGAAAAAGTTTTGACAAGCCTCTCAGATCCCTAGCTAGCTGTGTATAATTTTAAGATGTATTTTATATGTTGCAGGTTGACGGGAATTACGCATATACTGTCTGGTTATCAGTGTACCAGAGGTTTTAGGTATGTCTAATGACTTGAAGATGGACCGAAACAGGGTTGTGTTTTTTCCCTAAATGTCAATAAGAAATGCCTTTCTGTAGCTCTCATGTTCCCAATTGGGGGAAATGCAACTTATCACAGAGTGGGAAACCTTTGCTTACTTCTCTCGATTTCATTAGTATATAATCAGTAAAAGAATATTATAATGAAACTTCTAACAGATCCTTAACTTTGGTGCCACTGATCCCATTTCAAATAACCAATCTCATTTCACAAGTATTTATTTTTCAAGTTCACTCCCATACCTTTCTCAAGGGTCAAAACGGAAGGTTGTAGGGATTTAAAAAGTTGCTCTATTTTTATGTTTAATTTATTTAAGTTACCTTCACCTACACACTGTGCGTCTTATAATCATCTCTCATGAGTTTGGGATAGTTCAATATAGACGGGAAAGACAATAGGAAGTTAAGAACATGACTTATTCAAAGGGATTCACAATTTATCTTGTCTAGACAATTGACTAGACAGGTATAGACAGTCTTATAATGTTTTTGCAGGCAGTGTGTTTCTACCTTGACCAAACTAGTCATGTAGAAAAATAGAATTTTCAGTTTCTGTTTCTTTCAATGCTTATAATAAAATCCCCCTCCTTCAGTGAGCTTCTTACTCTTATAAAGTAATAGAGAAGGTAATTATATCTATTGGTTTGCATAAGAAAGAATAAATAGAATTGTATTGCAAACATAAGCAATTTCTCTGGCCAGACACTAGTGATATGATAGCTTATAGCATATTAAAAAAAATTATGTCCATCAAAGTTATCCCTAGCTCAGGCCTCACCGTAAGACTCTTTCAGCCAAGCCACAAATCAAATTTCTTGATGACCTAACTAGTCGATCCAAGATGCTCTGCTTTATTGAAAAAAAAATTGCAGAGAACTAACCTCTCGATCCAAGATGACCCGCGGATGATTCGGTATATATATGGAGAGAACGAGAGCTTTTCCGCTGGAGCAGCCTTCACGGACCAATTTTTCGCTGGGGATGTGCGACACAAAGACGGAGAAGACAACGAGAGATATCGAGGAGGCTGCGACAGAGATATTGGGGATGCAAGAAGGGTAAAGTTGGGTATCGGGGGAAAATGGGATGGTATAACTATCCTCAAAGTTGTATTTAATTACCATTAAATAAAAAAAAGCATATAGAAGCATGGTAGAAGGAGCTTCCAGGTTTTACCCTATAATCACTTTTATTGAAGCTAAACCTTCCTTTTGCAAACACTCAAAATAGCTTTTAAAAAAAACAAAAGTGCTTTTGAAAAGCAAAAGAAAACACTGCCTACGGCCCTACGTATGAGGTAAACCATTCTCCTAGCTGGCCTACGGAAGGCTACTGGATGGCCTACCTATACTATTATAAAAAGCTAGTAAGACAAATGAAGCATGAAATGACAAACTCAGTTATAAGACAATGCATTGAAATCCATTGAAATCTATATAATTCTATGATATAGAATTCCATAATATTCCATAAAAAACCCACAGAATCTCTAGAATTCTATTACCATTCATGTATTTACAATCTTTAAAAATTCTTTAAAATCCATGTTGAGGACACCCGTATTAGTATAACTTTACGTACATGGTCATGATCAATTTTTTTTCATTATTATAAAACTAGTCAATTATTAATTGATATTTTTATTTGTTATTTCATAACATTTTAGTTTATGCGTTATCTATGAGTGTGTTATAATTGAATTAGACTTCAAGGCCATCTAAATCCTTTCTTTTTAATGTGCAATTCTTTATTTTTTGAATTAGACTTCAAGGCCATCTAAATTCTTTCTCAATTTTTTGTTTGTTCAAAATTCAAATGAATCAGAGATTTAAAGTGGCTCCACTCTATATCTATGTCATGGCGGTGGTGCCCCGACCAACAATGAACTTTTTTGTATCAGTTACTATGTTTATAAATGAAAAAATGTAAGTTGTGAATTGATGAAAAACAAGAAGCCAAAAATGACAATAATAATCCCACTTTTGATAAGTTTTTCATAATAATTCCACACTTTGTAATATCACATTTGTAGTCTACTATCTTTTGGTGAACCTTACTGTTTTTTTTGTCTTTTCTTTGAAAACCTTATATAAACAATATCAAACCAATCTGCTTAAACAAGTCCAACGTTTCATGTTATTTTCTTTTTTCATTTTCTTAGTTTTTATTTATTTAATCTGTTTATGTTTTTACTTTACTTCTTCTCAATAGTTTTTTCTCAATAGTTTTAATTTCCCTTTTCTCAGTAGTTTTTTATTTCTTCTTTTTCCCTATGTTTATTTCTTCCCTTTTTATGTACTACTATTCGGCTAATTTTCTTTTATAGATCGACTATTATCCCACATTAATCGTTATTATTCTATTTATTTTTTATTGCAATTTTTCTTTTCTTTAAATTCTCCCTTTTCTTCTTTTCTTCCCTATTCACCTTCCTAATAAGTACGTAGTATTTGTTTTTTTCTTTGTCCATTTTCAATCATCCATTTTTGCTTGCTTTTAACATGTCAGTGTCGAATGATGATTTTTGCTCAAAATTTCTTCTTATTTTTACCGTTTTCAAATAATGTTTCTCACTTCTATTGCTTTTCGTTTAACGAGCATATGTAATTTTTTTGTTTCCTACATTTCCCTAATTGTTTTATTTTTCTCTTTTAATTTTAATTTTCCCTAATCTTTTCATCACAAAGATTTGTTCCCATAGTTGATGAAATTTAGGAGTGAACTTGCTTAGAAAAATACGATGATGTAGAAAGGAGATAAAAATATATTGATGGTGAAATTAAAGTAACAAAAGGAAAGAAAAGAGGAAAGAAGAAAGAAAAACAAAAAAAGTAACAGAAGAAAAGGGGAAAAGTGAAAATAGAAAGAAAATATAACAAATAGTAAAGTGGGGAAAATGACATTTAATAAAAATACAATGGTTAAGAAGAGAAATACATAAAAAGGGGAAAAAAATCTGCAAAGAAAATTTTACAAAAAAACTCCCCTAATAGAGCGAGAAATAAATTAATAAATATGAAAAAAGAAATAAAAATGAAAGAATGGGAAAAAGAATAAAAAAATGTCTAGGAATAAAAATAAAGAATAGTGTTAGGGTGAAAACAGAAAAAGAAATATGAGACTGTTTTGAACAGATTTGTGAAAGGTGAGATCTCTGCATGTATGATTTCAAAGAAAAGACAAAAGACATAGTATACTAAGTCATCAACCGGTCAGAATCCAATGATAGAAGATGAACTGCAAAAGTGAAATTATTCGGCGATCACTTAAGGTGCGATTATTATGATAAGATCGATCAAAAGTGAGATGATTGTTTTCAATTTTTTGAAAGAACTTTTAAATTAAGGAAAAATTGAAAATAATAATCTCAACTATTGCTGGTCCGCTGAAAATAATCCCAACTATTGATTATTTTTGTATAATCCCAACTATATAGACTATCCGCCAATAATGGTCCATGACCATATATTACCTCTATAAAAAGTGAATTTTAAATAGAAATTAAGCGTAAAAATTAAAAGTTGAGATTATTTATAGGGATTACTTGTTATATCTCACCCCATCCACTTTAGAAACTACAAGAATTTATTCATAGGGACCATTATTGGCGGAAGGTCCCTAAAGTTGGGATTATTCTGCAATAATCAATAGTTGGGATTATTATGAGCGGACCGCCAATAGTTGGGATTATTACTATCAATTTTTCCTTAAATTAATTTGTAATTTAAGGTGAATAGTGGATTAAGAAGAACCGGTTTGTAATGCCTATATTCTACTTCGTCGTTATCAACCATTTTTTATCCAATAGGTAAATTTTGATTTCGTTCACAAAATTGTGTAGTAATTAAAATAAGTAACAGTGAAGTCATTTATTTAGTTGAATGGGATAAACTTACTGTTGTTGAAAAGTTTGACTATATTTCATATATTTTTTTATTAATAAAATATATTTTAAATGTATCTTTTCATAATTCAGTTTCAATGAGTATGGACTCTTTTTTTTTTTGCAAATGGACTCTTAATTAATAATTTGAAGTGGATAGATTCTTAATTTGAATAGAGCCTCAACCCTCACTACATAACGACAGCTTATTACTGGTAGAGTAGTAACTCTCTCCCTTTTTAAATAAAATTTACACATAAATTTGACACATATTAAGAAAATAAATTTATTAAGAAATAAATTCATTGAGAAATAAATTTTATTGTACAATATACTGTTTTAATACTCCCTCTGTCACACTAACAATGAAACAAGAGAGAGCGTCACACAAATTAATAACAAGTGAGTTATGTGGTTGATATTGAATTGATAAAGTAAGAATAAAGTAAGAATAATTTAGAATCACACAAATTCTGCCTAATTTGGTATGAGACAATCTTAGGGGACAGATCAAAAAGGTAAAATGAGACAATCTTACCAAGACGGAGGTAGTACTATTTTACGCCGTTTTGATAAAAATTTATTTACCAAATAACAATGTGTGACTTTGTTTGACATATTCTGAAAAAAGAAAATGGGGGAAATATATATTTTCAGCTCAGAATGGGCCTCGGAATCATCGGATAAGTTATTATTATTACAACTCCGATAGATGGAAGTTGGAGGTGACAAACTTGGAGGCAATGATAATTTACTGTTCATTCATCACTCTGCTGCTGCTGCTGCTTCTGTGCGCTGTAGAGAATGGAAAGGCAAGTTGGCCTTCTGTTACCCCCACCCATCATCGAAAAGAAGAAGAAACTGCGGGAGACTTTCTAAAGCTTTGGAGATAGTGGTATAGGTTAGTGTTGGTAATTGGTGTCCCAACCCAAGAAGAATTTCAAGTGGGTCATCTCTCTGCCTGCCTGAATATGTGACCCTACATCCCACTTGTTGGTCTTTGCTGTCTGTCTCCACCTCGCACCCCACCCAACCCAAGCTCACCCACTGACCCCTCTTTTTGCTTTTATTATTAACATTCTTTTTTTCCATTCTTCCTAATATTTTATTAATATGACTCCCTATTCTATTCTACATACATATAGGAATTAGCCTTTCTTCTCTATCTTCTGGATGGAATAAAGCGCCAATCTGTTTCTCCCTTCACGCAATCAACTATACAGGTGGTTTTTTCTTCAACGCCTTTGTTTATTGGCTATTGTTTCTGTTAAGGTAAATACAATGAAAAGTCACCTTTTTTCGATTCGTCGCCTTGTTGGGCTGTGTGCACACTGACATGCATATGTCTGCTATTATGTGGACGTAAAGATATGTGAATTACTTTGATTCAGATTCTTGAATTGTTGATTTCTTTTTGTTTTTTTGCTTTTGTTTTGTCTTCCAATTTCAGTGTCTAAGTTTATATGCCATAAAGGAGCAGACTTTACTTTCCTGGGTCTGAGGGTTTTATTGGAAGTTGACCTGAAGAGTATTTGGAGGTTGTGTATGAAATTCGGACTGTGTTGTCATTTGGATTTGGGACTGGGATTGAGATTTCATGCTCGGAGTCAGGGGATGGAGAGGTTTATTATGGCCAACTTTCATCTTCTTTAACATTGGCCATTCACAATAACATGAAAAACTTTTTGAGGAAACTTCATTTGGGGTCCAATCATTCTGAGGATTCAGAAGGGTCAGCAAAGGGGAGTAATAAGTTGAGTGATATATCTTCGCCTGAAAGGAATTTATTAATCTCTAAATCCCACCACGGGTCTGAACACAACAAGCCCTTTTCAGCAATTTCGGGATGGTTGAACTCTGTTTCAAGTAAACACAGTACTCCTCCCCCTTCTTCTTGTTCTAATGTGAATAAAGTTGACAGAATGGAACCTACTGATTCTGTGAGTAGTAGTGGTGGCTTAGAGGCTGCTCTGGAAGCAGTTAGGCTTGAGTCTGAGTCAACAAATTCGAGGGATCCTGATATTGAAGAAGAGTATCAAATTCAAATGGCTTTAGAGTTGAGTGCCAGGGAGGATCCTGAGGCTGTTCAGATTGAGGCTGTGAAGCAGATCAGTTTAGGATCTTGCCAGCCTGAAAACACCCCAGCTGAAGTTATAGCATATCGTTATTGGGTATGTTCTTAAGTGTGTACCCCTTTGTAATTGACTTTTTCACTCAGATGTTAGGGACTATGTGCTTAATAAAGTCATGTAATTATTTCCTATTGGTTATGTTATATGTGAATAGTACATAGCCATTGCAGTTGCCATATTGAATTGACTGACTACATCCAGTTGAGCGCTGTTTGGTTTTAGGTTTCTTTTTAGCTCAGTATTTTTTAGTTTAGCTATTTTTTCAAATTAAGTATGTCACAACTGATATGGGCTCTTGGTGTTATATTTGTTTTGTTTCAACATAAGAGTGAGTATACATTTACTCTATTGCACTCATGACTCACCGTTTGTTTTCCATTCAACCTTGTCACAGAACAAATTTCTAAAATTATTTACTCTTTCTCATCTTTCTGATTCGGGAGAAGAAGATTTTGCATGTGCACTGAGTTCCTGTTAATATGCTATCGATTACTTAAATTTTATTTTAATAATGTAAAATGACTAAATGCGTAGTTTGAGGTTCTTCAGGTAGTTAATCAGAGTAAAATGGCGGGCACATTGAAATGGCATGCAAGATGTTATGCCTCAATATGTGGGATTTAAACATTTATTTTCTTACTATATCAAGTGTTTGGATGGATTCTTCCTTTTCCTGCAGTATTGCATACATTCATTTACCATAAGCGAACTTTATTGGAGTTCGTATAGTCATTTTTTCAGGTTGGACTTTGTAGCAAGTTACCCATCTTTTAGTGTCATATGAATATTCCAATATGAGTTCCCGTGCTTGCAGAATAAAACTTTCTGATTAATCTTACTCTTTCTCTAACACATGCTGTATCTCATATGATAGATTTCTCAATGCTTCACAGAATTACAATGCTCTTAGCTTTGATGATAAGATCCTGGATGGTTTCTATGACCTATATGGCATCGTGACCGGATCCACTTCATCAGAAATGCCTCCCCTTGTTGATCTGCAAAGAACACATGTATCAGATCACATAAGTTGGGAAGCTATTCTTGTAAATAGAGCTGCTGACTCCAACTTGTTGAAGCTTGAACAGAGGGCTTTGGAGATAGCTGTCAGTTCAAGATCTGAACCGTTAAACTTCTCAAGTGGAGATTTGGTGCAGAAGCTCGCTGTTTTGGTCTCTGACCACATGGGGGGGCCTGTGGCCGATCCTGACAATATGCTAATAGCATCGAAAGACCTTTGTTGTAAGTTAAAACAAACTCTCGGAAGCATGGTTTTGCCCCTTGGTTCTTTGATCGTTGGGTTGGCTCGTCATCGTGCTTTACTGTTCAAGGTATTTAGGTTTTCATTTAAAAAATAAATGTCAATAAACTTTCAGTTTTTTAACACGACAATATCTTAGTTTTACTACTACTAGTATCTACAATGTTTTATACCCATTGTGCTTGATTGTAAATACTCACATTATAATGCAGCCCCTATAATCATCCGTGTAATATGGTTTATTTGGTTTTGAAAAACATGTAGGTTTTGGCTGATAGTATTGGCGTCCCTAGCCGGCTAGTGAAAGGACAGCAGTATACAGGCTCTGACGATGTTGCAATGAATTTTGTAAAAATGGATGATGGAAGGTAAATGTTGTTGTCCTCTAGTCTTTACCTTTCTAAATGTAAGTGATGGTTGGCCTAGGTAATTATCATTTAAGACATATCGTATAGGGCTGAAATTGCTGTAGAATATATTTTTGGCTCCAACTGATATATGGCTGATTGGCTGAAATGCCTGTTCCCACATTGTTCACCTTTCAAATAATTGTTACTAAGTGGGGCAAAATTTCCCGAAGAAGTTTTTTCACTCTTCCTTTTTTTTGAAGTGTGTTTAAAATCAATATTCATTGTCTGTTAGAGTAAAACCTGACCAAACAAGCTAAGCAATTTCTCACTCGGCGGAGCCCACTATATGGTTCAAGTGATGCCATTCGTCCCGGTTGAGAGTCATGTCTTATGTTCCCATGTAATTGTCTATGGGAAATTCAACTTAGGTCTTCTTCTACCCCTTTCTTCATTTGCACTTCTATGCCCTCACTCCTAACCTGTGCTCTAGCGAAAATGGCCAAACCATTTTGGACTGTTCTCTCTCATCTTGCTCAGTCAGACTGTCAGAGTATACTGCTTTTTTATGAGAGAACTCAGTAAATTAAAGATGAAGTTATTTTAAAGGAATTCCCTAAAGCTTTTCAGAAACTTGTTAATTTTATGAGTACACGTAGCATGGGATTTGTGAAAAATAGCCAAATAATGAAAAGCTCACTTAATTTTCAGAGAGTACATTGTAGATTTGATGGCAGCCCCTGGTGCTCTTATTCCATCTGACACTGCAGGAGGGCAGGCAGGAGACTATGAAGATTTCCATTTCAGCAGCACAGTGTCCAAAGACGTTGACATCCCCCAAACAGCATCCTCTAGCAGTGGCATTACTTCTTCGTCTGAGGAACTCAATGAGACTGAAAAAGGGTCCAGGTTGAGGAAAAGTGTTATTGCAGGAAAAGAATCTTCTTCCTCGGGTGAATTTGAAAAGCCTTTAAAAAAGGAGCCTGCCAGAACCATTCATCCTTATTCACATGCAAGGTCTCCATCCTGGACTGAAGGGGTTAGTTCCCCAGCTGCACATAGGATGAAAGTGAAAGACGTTTCTCAATACATGATGGATGCTGCCAAAGAAAACCCGCATCTTGCCCAGAAACTCCATGACGTCTTACTTGAAAGCGGAGTCGTTGCACCCCCAAACTTGTTTTCCGAAATTTATTCAGATGGGTTAGATGTCTCGGTGAAATCAAAGGGCGATGTGGAAAATAAAAAAAGAGTTAACTTGCAGAATAAGAAGGGAGGAGATGATCTTGATCGAGCTCGCTTCTTGCCTCCCTTGCCACATCATTGTAAAAATTTAAAGGGAAATCCACGTGGGCTATTGGGGCGTAATGTAGACGAAGTTAATGAGCATGCTGTTTCTCCAAGGAAGAAGTATACCAAAAATATGCCGGTTGCCGCTGCTGCTGCTGCAGCTGCTGCTGTGGTTGCATCTTCAATGGTAGTAGCTGCCGCAAAGACATCTTCTTCTGATCCAAATGTTGACCTCCCTGTCGCAGCGGCAGCCACAGCCACAGCGGCAGCTGTAGTGGCAACTACTGCAGCTGTCAGTAAGCAATACGACAAATTGGATGTATCTGCTCATTTTCCAGATAGTCCCGCTTGTTTTAATCCATTAGAATTGGCGAGAAGTGGCGGAGATGCTAATGTCGGTGAGCTCCAGGGAAGTGGTGACAGAGTGCGTGAGGCACTTGGAGTAAATTCAGAGGGTGAGAGAATATCTGATAGGTCGACTGAAAACGATAGCGCAAGATCTGACGCAATGCTTAATGATGTGGCAGAGTGTGAGATTCCGTGGGAAGATATTGTCATTGGAGAACGTATTGGCCTTGGTATTGATGTGCATTATATTCTAGCAATTGCAATTTAGAAATGCCTAGTTTAATCTATAGATTGTCATCTGCATGGTTCTTCTATTGCAGGATCCTACGGGGAGGTATATCGTGGAGACTGGCATGGAACTGTAAGTACTATTTTCTTTTACTGTACTTGAATTATGTTTTTCTAATTAGTATCAGTCACCTCCTATGTGCCATACATAAGTTGTAACATCCGGCATATTTTAGTGATAGGGTTAGATCATGTATACTTCTAACATGATTTTTATGGTAGATTCTGCCTGTAATCAGGCTTCAGGAGAATAGGAATACTGGGGTGCTGAGGGTTGACTCTAGACTCTAGAGCTTCTTGACGCTGCTAGTAATTGAACAATTGTTTTGTTTAGGTTATGGCTAAAGGAATTGAACATGTGTGTGACGATGATGTATGTCTGTTCACTATATATCATTAATGAATAATGAATAATGAATTATAAGAGGCAGCAGCATGTGGGGATGACGAACAAGCAATGAGTTTACCATTACAAATAGATCCATTGTTTGGCCGTATCCTAAACATGTGGGTTCATACAAAAAACTTTTGGATCAGGTTTCTATTTGACAGACTAAATAGTTATTGAACTCAACCAGCAGCTTTTGATATTTAAGAATGAGAAAATAATAAATGTAATTGCTCAAAAAAGAGTAAAACATGGGCACAATTCTCAACTGGGACTAAGCATGTCTTCTTCTCAAAAAAGGATTATATAGTCCTATTAAAAGAGTAAAACAATAAAACTTCTAGTAGTTGAATGATGTGTGTTTTCTCGCACTTAAAATAGATCGTAATATAGTGGTGTAAGTACGAGTATCGTCTCCACAGGGACGGACAAAAGGGAATCAAGAATTAATTAAATTCAGTGATTAAAAAGAAAATAAAATAAAAGCGTCGTGCGAGATTGGTTGGTTTGGAAAATAAAACTAATGCGAACTATTAAACTAGGGGGTTCTTTCTAATTAATGACGAAGGGAACAGGGATCGATTCCGTGGTAACCAGATTTCTGGCAGATCAGGCCTAATTACATGAAATTAATTTAGTTGAGCCTAGCTAATCATTACTAAGTTCTTACCGCTCTCGCGGCGTAGAGTACAATAATTTAGGGGACCAGGCTGATCTCTCATGCGACAGGATCCTAAATTATTGCCAAGACGAGCGAGCTTACGGCCCCTTAATCGCTACTAATCTCTTAGCGAACGATTAAATGTGTGTGAATGTGTCCTAGAACAAATTAGATCTCTCTTAATTTATTCTACATACAATTGTAATTCTAGTCGCGATTCTAGGTTACAAAAGATATCAATTAAATTATTCAAACACAAATTAAACGGCATTCATGCAATTAAACCGAAAAGAATCTATCCATACATCATGATTAACCCCTTCATCAATCCCAAATCCCTAACTAAAACTACTCACAATTCATAATTAAAGAATCAATAGAATTGGAATAAAAAGAATTAATTGTCATTAATTAAAAAGGTGGAACTTACAAAGAATCCCAAAAGATTGATGAACAAGGCTAAAAAGCCCTCTAAAATTCGTGCTAGGCACTCTCTCTAAGCTCCCCCTAAAAAACGGGGGTTTACAGGCTGTTTAAATAGAAAAATCGGGTGAAATTTGAGCTGAATTAGGATTTTCGGAGCCAGACACGATGCTAGGCACGATCGAACGGAGCAAAAACGCGCATTTTGGGCAGGCACGATCGTGCCTGTCAGGCAGTAGCTCCACGGTGCTTTTCTCTTTAGGCACGATCGTGTCTGACTTTGAGGGCACGATCGTGCCTACTTAACTTCCGAATTTGACAAAACTTCCTTCATGAAAGTTGTAGATAATGAAGTCCTCTATCCACCCCAATTTGCCGAATGTGATTTGAATCATCCAATCAAGAGATATGATCAAAACGGTGGAAGGTGTCTTTCTGAAATCGCAGCAGAGATCATCTGACTTCATCGTCTGTTTTCACCTTCTTCCTCTCAGATTCTCGCAAAGGTGTCTTCATATGATTTGTAGCCCTTGAAGTTGGCTTTCCTATGGAACTTGAATCGTGTACATTGGATGTTTTTACAAAGAGATATGCTTGCACGATTGACAGAAGGTCATCTGATCGTCGTTTTCAAGCTTCATTCATCTTCTTTTGATCCTGAAGCCAGTCCTAGAGCTCTTTTTCCTTCAAATCTTCATCGTGAATCTTCCGGTGACCTCCAAAGCTATCAAATCATTCTCAAATGCTTCTCAAATCATCCCGATTGTTCCTCAAGTGCCGGTGCCGGGCTCAAATTCCCTGATTTTGACTACAAACAACACAAAACTCGAACCAACGCCCGGTAAACATAACTTGAGCTAAAATTAAGACTTGTAACACCTTAAAACTAGGAAAATCATCAAAAGCCGATCTCAACACGCATCAAATACGTGTCAAAATACGGACTTATCATTGAACTACCCTATCTTCTACTCCTACTTGAGGAATTTTCTCAAACTAAGTAGCACGGAAGTGCAAAACGGGAAATGCGAGAAACGAGATTTCTAAAAAATATAGGATACGAAATGTGCGGAAATGTGTAAATATTTAAAAACATAAGCATATACACACACACAGGTACTTTCATTTATATAGCCGCACATATTTTTTCTTCATATAACTTGTTTATTAACCCAATAATAAAAGCATTCGACTTGTTCATTTTCAGAAATCATTATATATTAGTACATAATAAACATAAAATGCAATACATTTCTAGCAATACCTTGCGTATGAAATGTCACAATATTGCTAATAGAAATATCATAAAAGTTCACTAAAACTTCTTTAAAAAGACACTATTTTCTATCACAAAATCTCATAAAAAGAAAAACCTAGAAACCCAAGGTTTTTGAAACGCTAATTATTTAGGGAAACAGGTTTCCCAATTCTTCTTAATTACGAAATGGTCCCGAAACAGGAATATGAAGTTTCTGAGTTTCCGAAACGCTTCCGAGTTTCCGAAACGGGAAAATGTGAGCCATGGGGAGTTCCCATGCTTCATAATTCTCAAATAAGAACTGGCTATTTGTTGACGTAGTGACAAACTTTATTAAGCACTCGGCTCAGCCCCTGGTTGTACTTGGTACTAGTTAACCTTCAATCCCAAGCTGTTAACATTGTTTCAAAATTGGGCTCTAAAGGTTAATTATGACGGTTAATTGTTTAAATTCTTATTAAGGTTTTATGTTTAAATTCTTATTAGGGTTTTATATTATTTGACATTCTTCTTTACTATACAGATCAGTGCATAGTCCTAGCTGCTAAATGAAAATGACCAGTGACAAACTTTATTATCACAGGGAAATTACAGAAGTAATTTGTAAGAATTAAAATTATGAAAATTTGACCTTCTAGATACTGTTTTCACTTTTCATCATCACGTGGTGCCAATTTTTTTTTATTCTTCCAGTGCTACAGAAATCTAGCATCAACACTTTCATTTATTGGCTTCATGTTTTTTTGCTTGTTTCTTTGCTTTATACTCACATGTAGGACACTAAAGCTTTCAATAAAAATATAGGTTGCTTGATCTTACAGTTTCTTAAGTAGGTTTCTTTGTATATGCTCATAAAGAGAAAAAAAGGTTCTATCTATTTGCATATAATGGGTAAACTGATCCTTTATTTTTTGGGATATTACTTTATTATGTATTCCTGTTAAAGAAAATCATTATCCTTGAGCATTTGGATTTATTGGACAATGTCTCCGTAAGGATTTGTGTCACTTCATTCATTCTCATATAAGATTGTTAATGGTTATATCAAATTCAGTGGTTGGTTTCACAGATCAAGTAGTTTGTGTTGATTCTTAAATGCTAACCAATAGGAGTAGTAATGGACTGATATCTTGTTGCATGTTGTTCGAGTCTTATTTAGTGTTCAATATCTTCTCAGGATGTTATTTTCCACTATTTGCTAAATTATTGAATGTTTTATTTTATAGGAAGTCGCTGTCAAGAAGTTTTTGGACCAAGATATTACTGGGGAATCTCTTGAAGAATTCAAAAGTGAGGTACCATTTGCTTGTGTCCTTTTGGGATTATAAACTTAGTGATTACTCTGTATCATTATTAATTTTTTTTATCTGACCCAATTCTATCACACATTCAATTACTTTCATGCTGTATATGCATTTATGGATCAGGATTTGACATAAGATGTTTTTTTAATAAAAACATTTGGATTGCAAGGTATGGATCATGAAAAGGCTTAGGCATCCTAATGTTGTTCTTTTCATGGGAGCTGTTACCCGTCCTCCAAACCTTTCAATTGTTACTGAATTTCTACATAGGTATTACCGGAATAGAGTAAATTTTATATTTGATTAAATAAGTAATACTCTTATCTTAGTAGGTTGAGATTTTGAAATATCATTTTTATGTGCAGAGGTAGTCTGTACAGATTGATCCATCGTCCCAACACTCAGTTAGATGAACGGAGACGATTAAGGATGGCTCTTGACACAGTATGGTCCAGTTTTCCTATTTCTTTAAGATTTGTAATAGTTGGGACTTGTATTTACAGTTTCACTTCATGAACAGAAACGTTAATTGTGTTGAAAATGTCAGGCTCGAGGAATGAACTATTTGCACAATTCCACCCCAATGATAGTCCATCGCGATTTGAAGTCTCCAAATCTCCTTGTTGATAAGAACTGGGTTGTAAAGGTGATATTCCTCAATCTTGGAATCTTTGTAATTGAGTAAATTATATAACATTACACATTAAATTATTGATTGATGTGGCGACAATGGCGTGTTCATTACTCCTAGGTATGTGATTTTGGGCTATCAAGAATGAAGCATAGCACGTTTCTTTCTTCAAGGTCAACAGCGGGAACGGTAAGGAGAAAAAACTAATTCCGAGGTCCCCTCTTTGTATTATAAGTTTCATGTTCATTGAAGTACTTTACTCCCCGTCCCCCAATTTCTTGTTGCACATTTCATTGGTTGAGTTTTTAAAGCTTCTGTGATACTGCTCATTCTTCCCATTTGGTGATTCATTACTCTCCTCCTTTCACCTTTTATTGCACATGGCTCATAGATCTTTACAATTTGGTTAACACTTGAATGAATGAACTGATGTTGCTTCAGTATAATTATAGTTCCATGTTTATCACAACCGCCCCCTATACTTAGATTGCCATAATCTATTTCGGCTTTTGTGATAACTAAACTAGACTATTCGCATGTCTTTTATTTGATGTTTCCATAACGTGTGATAGCTTTCAATATTCATTTTAGCAACTGCTAGGCTGTGGGGGCCAAATAACTAATCGTTTGGTATTCTATTCTAGGCGGAGTGGATGGCTCCAGAAGTACTGCGAAATGAGCCATCAGATGAAAAGTATGTCGTTCAGCATAACCTATTACGTACTCTATAGATATTGGAAATTGATGCATGTTTTATTGTAAGATTATGGAAATAGAAATTTCCTTACTAAAGTTTACCTAAAAAGAACAAATAGGATTATAATGAAATCATAGAAAAATCGAAAAAAATAATAAAATAATAAAATAATAAAAAAAAATATAAAATATTTATAAAAAAATAAAAATTTCAAAAAATAATATATTTTTTACTTGTGTTTTTAAAAAATTAATAAAAATAGCAAAAACCCATAAAAATATGGGTACATTTCCCACCGCCTCCTAGCACCACCTCCGATTGGTAAAAATTCTGCCATTTTTTTTTGTAAAAATGTCATTTTTCTGAAAATGCCAAGAAAATGGCATTATTACTCTTCGTAATGCCAAAATTTTCATTGAATCTGCCATTATTATGGCATTACTAAAATTGTTGGCAGATTTCGAACCGGTGATGGGAGCTGTCATGTTGGGGGTGGCAGAGGCGGCGGTACTTTTTTTATTATGACATTTTGTCTAGAGATTGTCTTAAAGTAGTAACACTTGCGTGAGTTATTATCTCACATTCTCACCTAAGCTCACATAGTCGTACTGGTGAGGTGACTGAGGTCGATCACTTTTGAGCTAAGAACTAATACTCTCGGGCTAGATCTTTCTTATCTTTAAAAGTGATTGTTGTTTTTGTTGTCAAAGTATTTGTTCTGAGTTGAAAAGTGATGAGTTTCACGGACTGAGCTTTCGAAGGTTATCTCACACAAGATCTTTTTATAGTGAAAATTACCGTTAAGTGACTAAAACGTATATAGGTTCCTAATATACAACAACATTACCCCGGCAAAGGCTCCCACCTACGGTGGGGTAGGGGGGGGTGGGAGTACGCAGCCTTACCCGTGTACGAAAGCACAGAGAGACTATTTCTGGATGACCCATGATGAAAACCGTGTCAAAAATTATTGATCGTTTCTTCATAACAAAGAAGCGCAAACAATTTAGTAAGCCATTTTGCTTTGTTCCATCATAGTCACAAGCCAAAAAACATAGACAGTTTAGGTTCCTATTATATGAAGAAAAATTTAAGCATATGGCATATGAGTGGAAAGTGCAATTAATGCATGGGGTGTGTGGGAAAAAGAATCACCTAACCCTTTAAAATGAACATGGGAATAGTTATCATACATAAAATACCATTACGTTAGTAAAAAAACCTCATAATTATATATTTGGAAAATGTCCATCTTTTCGTCACTCTTGTAGTAATATTCTCTTTTTAATATGGGTCCTTATTGATGATTGGTTGCCGATTTATGTGCGCGCTGCAGATGTGACGTATATAGCTTTGGAGTCATATTGTGGGAGCTTTGCACATTGCAGCAACCTTGGGGAGGGATGAACCCCATGCAAGTAGTCGGTGCGGTTGGATTTCAGCACCGTCGCCTAGATATACCCGATGACATGGATCCTGCTGTTGCAGACATTGTTAGAAAATGCTGGCAAACGTGAGTCTAAGGGTTTGTTTTGTTAGAAGATTTCAAAGCGAATGGAAGGGGTTGCTTTTTACTTCTATATCTATAGTCTAAATAAAGTGAAGATAAAAAACTATATATGAACACTCGGTCTACTAATTGTATAGCTATATGCCTATATCAAATATCTCTAGTCTACTAAAAAATACACGAGCAAAGACAAAATTTTATTACTTGGGGTATAATTAGTTTTGTTTCCCAATGACATGGTGTTTCCATGTATATGTAACTGTTTGAGAGTTAATTTTTTATCACTCTTTCCCATTAGTAAATTGAAACCAACGCCCTGTCCTCTGAAATCGCTGAACCAAACAAGCCCCAAGTTGCTTATGTTAGTTTTTTTTCAATATCTTTATTTAAATTAAGATACTCATGGCATTGGTAAACAAGCAGAAAATTCTTTTTCTGTTCATCAGCCAACTTTGAATTCTTGATGATATCACATTGTCAATCCATGCAGAGATCCGAAATTGCGCCCTTCATTTACTGAAATCATGGCTGCTTTAAGACCTCTGCAAAAACCAATTACCAGTTCCTATGTGCCAAAGGCACAGCCATCCAGAAGCCAAGGGAAGGGTAAGCTGTTGCAGCTTCCGGAAGATTCAGTTTCTGGAAGGAGCCGCTGAAAAAGCATACTGACGCTCACTCCTTGGAAGCAGTAACAAGTTCAAACTATTGGAAGCAGACGTGCAATTCTTTTCTATCTTTTTTTCCCCTCTGATCTCCTGTTGCTTTTATTCTTGGCTTATATATCATTTGCCGCGATCTTCAAAGTTGTCCATTTGTTTGTAGATTATTTTTGGACTCTTGTAATTACATATGTACACTGCTTATGTTTTAATCAACCTTTCTTCACAGAAGTATCAAGTGAAAAAGATCATTCGAAAGCGTTTTCCTTCAAATGAAACTAATGCGTGATTGTGGGCAATTTCCTTATAGTGAGATATCATTTACAAACAGCTAACTTACATAGCCTCTTGTACTCTCGTTCATTTCTGCTGCTCTTAACCAATCTTCCGCGTATGTAGTATGTACTGCAACTCTGCAAGTATTCCACACTGCTTCTCAAAGCTTGTTTTCATATATCATTTTCTATGATGTACAATGTGATTTTACAATATCATTCTTGCACTTCAAAGTAATTGTAAATTATTTGTGGGAGTCTACATGTCATGATAATTTTCTGTGCAAGTGAATATAAATGTATGATGTCAATGAGCGAGTTTCATATTCCCTCCATTGTAATGAAGCCAGGGGTCATGTGCCCTTCATTTTTTTTGCTATCCAAGAAATTACCTTTTTTCAAAAAAGAAGAGGCGGTGTTACCAGCTCTGTTGCCATTCATGAAATCCTTTCATCTGCTAGCTTTGATAAGGTCACCTAAGCTGATGAAGCCATAAAACATGTAATTGGTGATAACAAAACATTTATGTATTTGTAACTCTTATTATACAGTAATGATGGTTCTCCCTTTTGACAAGAACATAAGGTGCGCTAAGTCTATTCCCCACACATCAATCTTCTAATGTTAACCTTCAGTGTTGTATAATGTGCGGCTTGTCAGTATACAACTATATAATGAGTTTCTTCCTTGAAATTATTGGAATTGGACATTCATGTCCCAGAACTAGGTGATTGCCCTGTGTGTCGAGGAGAACGACTATCATCTCTACTGATCGACAACACTGATGGGTTGTTGACCTACAACTCTCTAAAAGGATGAAACAATAAGACTCATAAGGGAATGGTTAGCACTGAAAAATTCAAGTACTTATCTGGTACTGATGACTTGAAACAAAGTTGTAGGTTGACCGTTAATCTTCTAAAGGGTGCAAGTGGAGAAGTTATATTCAAGCCTAAGGGAGGGCATCTTCATATTTTAAATTCACCATGTCTGTCATCTCAAAACTCAAACTTTCATCACACTAAGCTACTCGAGGATGCATTGACGGGATTAACGGTGTGCAATTCTCAAGAAATATAATGATGGCGCAAATGAGCATAGTCGTCAAGGCAAAATTTGTGGACCACATGTCCACATACAAACTTAAGGTTTATACTTTAATCCATTATGCTTCAGGTTTAGAAGATGGTGGTGGTGGTGGTGGGGGTGGGGTGGGGGGTGGGGGGGCTTAAAATGGAACTATGAAATTAGCCCACAATTTAGTAGGGCGCTAGATCACGGGCATACAAGATTCCGCTGCATTGGGCTTGGCACAATGCATAACGACCTTATTTAGATAGTTTACTATGGTTATGTAATTCCTTGATCAAACATGGAATAAGAGCTAGCAGATGTACTTAGTCTATGAGTGGTTGTAACTGTCTAATATATGTGCCTATGTGTATCCAGTGGCGGATCTTGCAACCGGAAGTTGGGTGTTCAAACAAATTCATGGTTAAAATATTACACAATAATGTTTTTTGATCCCACAATTGAAGAAACGTAATTTTTTCAACAACAAAAAACTAGCAAAACGGTTTTCGCCTAAACATGTATTTTCAAAATTTTGGGTGTTCGCCTAAACACTGATACGTTTGTAATTTCCGTGTGTTTATTTACGTTTTTAGTTAATTTTGGTTGTTTAATATTTCGGAAATTACACACTTTTGGTGTAATAGTTTAGTTTGTTAAATTCTTGTAAATTGTTTAGATTAGGTTTATTCTGAGCTTAAACAGGTCCAAGATCAATCAAATGATCAATGGTGAAGGAAGGTGCAAGAGTACAAGACAAAAAGAAGGAAAGTTCCTGATTTTGACCTATACTCGATCGAGTATACCTTATACTCGATCGAGTATCAATACTGATTTTCAAGGATCCGATCCGGGAACAAATGAACATGCAAGGAAAGATTTGGCCACGTTCTATTGTCATACCTGATCGAGTACACCGACATACTCGATCGGGTATACATATAAATTATGCCCGAATATCGATCGAGTATGGATCGAATTCGAAGTTTTACACATACTCGATCGAGTATATGTACATACTCGATCGAGTATATGTACATACTCGATCGAGTACTCGACCTGCACCTCAAAAAGCCTATAAATACACCTCCTTTCCTTCACTTAAAGATACCAATTCCTTTATACTCTTAAGCTCAGTTTAGAATAGCATTTCTTTATATTTCTTTTAGCATGTTTAGTCTCCAAATGAGGAGCTAAACTTCCATTTCTTGGTTTTGCTACTTTGAAGCTTAATGAATTTGTAAGTTGTGAGTTATTATCTTTAATCTTCTTCCTTGAATATTAATTCTTTCTTTAAATACTATTTCTATATCAATGTTGGGGAGTGTTACTAAGATGACAATTAGTTAACATCTTGACATTAGTTATAGTAATAATTATTTCTTCCTCTACGTTAATATTGGGGAGTGTTACTAAGATGACAATTAGTTAACATCTTGATATTAACTATAGTAGGATTCATCTTCTTTAATATTCTTTCTTGAGTATTAATTAATTCCTATTCATATTTCATATTAATATTTTGAACATTACTTAAAGAATCAACTAGTTTTGTTTCATATATTAATTAATACTAGAATCGGTCGATTAATACGCTTGTTATTAATTCGGTCCTTTCATGGTAGTAAACTTGGATTATTAATGCATGCATCTCATGGTTAATAATCTAAGGGGAATTAATTATATTGATTAAACCAATAAACCGCTTGTGTTGAGGTTATCAATCTCAATCGTTTTCATCTTAAGTTTATTGCTACTATCAAGTTAATATACGGCGCTTGTTCTATATTGACTCGATAGTAAGTTTTATTAATGAACGCTTCTCGTTATTAATAACTACCCTCGATGAACTGGATATACTCCTCGATTGAGTATTCGAGAGGAAGATAGTTAAAGATATAACCGGGATCGACGAACATTTCATTAAGTGGATAAAAGCAAAGCCAAGTCTTCTTCTCATTAATTAAACCACATAACTCGTTCATCTTCGTGCTTAAATATAATTTAAGTTCACTCACTCTATCTAAAACTCCCCCCCTTGTTACTATTTTTTAAAAAGAGAAGTGTTCCTTTCCCTGTGGATACGAACCTTACTTCATTATACTACGTATAATTGTTGTATTGTATTATTATTTTGAGTGCACACCACGACAAAGTGCACGTCAAATTTGGCGCCGTTGCCAGGGAAAGGCAATTAATTTTTCTTTTTATTTTATTTTAAAGAAAAAGAAAAAAAAAATATAGTTGAAGTATAAAGATTTCTATTTCTTCTGAGCTTTGTTTGAGTATATGGTAAGAACCCGATCTATAAACGAAATCATCTACCAAACAAACCCCCAAACGGAACAAGCCTTTGAAAGGTTTAGGAATTTATTTCCGAATACTTCTTCGGAGGAATCATCAAGTGCTAGTTCTCAATCTAGCGAGACCGAAGAGCCAATCACTATGGCTCATGAAACGAGAACACTGAGGGAGCTCACGGCTCCGAATCTAGATCAACAACCTCTATGTATCACTTTTCCAATTCTTGATACGGGGGTCACATTTGAGCTAAAATCTGGGCTCATTCATCTCCTTCCATCATTCCATGGCTTACGAGGGGAGGATCCAAACAAACACCTGTCAGAGTTCCACATTGTGTGCACAAGCATGTGTCCCAATGGTGTCTCCGAGGAGCAGATCAAACTGAGAGCCTTCCCATTCTCTCTGAAGGATACCGCAAAGGACTGGCTATTCTATCTTCCTTTGGGAAGTATCACTACATGGCCACAAATGAAGAAGGCTTTTCTTGACAGGTACTACCCCGCTTCTATTTCATCATCACTCAAGAAGCAAATAAGCAACATTGAACAAAAAGATGATGAATCTCTATACGAATATTGGGAGAGATTCAAGAAGCTATGTGCGAGTTGCCCCTATCACGGATACACCGAACAAGACCTCATTCTCTACTTTTATGATGGTCTTGTGGATCAAGATCGCCGCATGGTGAATGCAGCGTGTGGAGGAGGCATTGTCAACAAAACTCCTTCACAAGCGAGAGATCTCATCTCGGAGTTGGCCGAGAACTCTAGACACTATAACGGGCGGTCCTCAATCCGTAGAGTTATGGCGGCAGAATCCAACAACTCGTTGGAAAGTCAAGTGAACGGCTTGACAAGTCAAGTTACCGGCTTGACTTCTTTGGTTAAGGATTTCCTTTTAAAGTCCAAGACCCAAGAAGTCAAGGTCTGCGGTATCTGTACACAACAAGGGCATCCCACGGACTCATGCCCAACTCTTCAAGAAGACACCACAGAACAAGTCAACGCCTTGGGTTTCCAAGGACATCAACAAAGGAGGTACGACCCATTTTCAAACTCTTACAATCCCGGATTGAGGGATCACCCAAACTTGAGATATGGAAACCCTTAACAAGCCAACCCACCTTCTCAATCGAGTATGTCTACGGAAGACATGATTCGAACTCTTGCTACTACCATGGGCACCTTACAACAAAACGTGGTGCAATTTCAACAAGAAACAAAGTCAAGCATTCAAAATTTGGAAACTCAAGTTAGCCAAATCTCGAATGCTGTAAATCGACTTGAAGCAAGAGATTCGGGTAGGCTTCCCTCCCAAACTGAGCAGAACCCAAGGCAACAAGTCAATGCCATTATGCTAAGGAGTATCCCGGAATTACAAGCAAAGGAAGTTGAAAAAGAGGAGGTTGACCACAAGGAGGAGGAGCCAAGAAAGACAAAATTTCCTCCGCTGTCATCATATGAACCAATCCCTCCATTCCCTGAGGCATTGAAAGACACAAGGAAGCTAGAGAGTGATCGGGACATCTATGAGACCTTCGCGAATTGTGAGGTAAATATCCCACTCTTTAAACTAATCAAAAGTGTTCCCCATTATGCAAAGTTCTTAAAAGAACTATGTATAATGAAAAGAAAAGATAAATTAAAG